TGGAAGAGTTTCTGCAGCTAAAACAGAGTGGGATGACGGTATTGGAGTACAAAAGGAAGTTCAACGAGTTATCCAAGTATTGTATTCCACTGGTAGCGGATGAAAGGAAGAAGTGCCAATTGTTCACCCGAGGCTTGAAAGCTTCTATAAGAGATATTGTGATTAATCAACGGCTGACTAATTTTATAGATCTAGTTATGATAGCCTCACTGATTGAGAACAGCCAGATGATGGTCCGAGTATGGGGTGATTCCCGCAGGCGACAGTTCGAGGTGGGTGGTCCCAGTGAGGGGTAATCCAAGAAGGGAAATTAGGTCAATTGTGTCCGGCACTTGCCAGGTGTCGGACACGCACAGGGTTCGGCTCGAATTCCAAAGTGGAATTTGAGTCGGGTCCTGTCAACTTGGTATTAAAGCATTAGGTTAAATTCCTGAAGACTCTGCACTTTATGTGCAATCCAGTTTTAATGAGTTTCCGTTCTTTTGACAGAATCATGGGCCCTAAACGTGGTGACACTAGGAGAGGGACTAGACAGTCGTCCCGACTTAGGGGACAGGATCCCTCGCCCGAGCCAGAGGAATTCCCTACTTTCGCACCGGTACTCGAACCGGTAGAGCAGTCATTTATTGGAGGCCCAGTAGGGGCCAAACCAGTGATGCCCACATTGCCGGGAGATCTCAGCTTCTCGCAAACTTTGGAGTTGTTGACTCATGCTCTATCCAGAATTGGGCAATCCGGAGATCCTTCTCCGAGCTACGCAGATCAGGCTAGGAGGATAGGGGCAACCGATTTTGATGGTGATGGTGGCCCAACTGTAACCAAGGAGTGGATAGAGAGGATGGAGTGGATTATGGAAGTGATGACTATCCCACATGATAGTAGAGTGACGCTGGCCACTTTCGTTTTGGCCAGGAATGCAAGACATTGGTGGGAGTCGTTCTGGAGACAATACCAGGATTCGTCAGCCATCACATGGCCAGTTCTCATAGCAAAGTTTGATGTGCAGTTCTATCAACTCGCATATCAGAATATGAAGATGGAAGAGTTTCTACAGCTAAAACAGAGTGGGATGACGATATTGGAGTATGAAAGGAAGAAGTGCCAATTGTTCACCCGAGGCTTGCAGGCTTCTATCAGAGATATCGTTATTAATCAACGGCTGACTAATTTTGCAGATCTGGTTATGACAGCCTCACTAATTGAGAGCAGCCAAATGATGGTCCGAGTACGGGGTGATTCCTGCAGGCAACAGTTCGAGGTGGGTGGTCCCAGTCAGGGGTCATCCAAGAAGGGCAATTAGGTCAATTGTGTTCGGCACTTGCCAGGTGTTGGACATGCACAAGGTCCGGCTCAGATTCCAAAGTGGAATTTGGGTCGGGTCCTGTCACTGGGTGTTGCCGAATGCTTGTTTTCATTTTGCAAAGCAGATTCTTGAACTCACTGAAATAGAAACATGATTGACAAGGCATTGACCCACCCAAACCATCATGCTTTTGACTATTTGTCTAGTTCTTTGATTAGCTGGGACTTTAATGCTCTTTATCTCATAATTTGAGTTCTCTGGGCTCAAAGCAGCTTATGCCAATATGTTTTGCAGCTCTTCTCTTTAATTTCTAGTGCTAATGAAGGCACATAAAGTGAAAAATATTGATTCCATTTTCCCTACTCATAGAGCATTCGTTACAGAAGCAATTGTTTTCTCTCAAAGGGTAAAGGTTGCTTCCACTTAATGGATTTTATATCCAAAGAGAGTGTTCCCTCCTTTTGTCCACTGGCAGCCAACACCAAGGCAGAGAAGGCAAAGAGTGTAAAAATGCCCAAAGGGGTCCACGATTTTAGACTATGATCTTTTTTCTGTTATTGTTGTTGGTGGTTTAAATACCCAGTATTTGATTCATGGGTTTTTCCACCAAAAACTGGATTTACCATCCAATGGAAATTTATGGGTTTTCCACCCATGATAGATTTGTATCCAAATCATTTCGGGGTTACTCACCCATGGTAATTTCGGGGTTTCTCACCCATGAATTTGCAACCAAACAATTTCGGGGTTTCACACCCATGAATTTGCATCCAAACAATTTCGGGGTTTCTCACCCATGGATTTGCATCCAAACAATTTCGGGGTTTCACACCCATGAATTTGCACATTCAAATAATTTTGGGGTTTCTTACCCAATAATGGATTTCGTATCCAATGAATTTTCGGGTTGCTCACCCAACATGGATTGCCATCCATTTGTTTGATTTATGGGTTTTATACCCAAGCATGGGGGACTTCAAGAGAGGAGCCTTGATTGCCTCTGTCATTTTTCTTCATCATGGCTGTGCTCCATTCTTCCCCAAGCCTTGCCACATCTTTTTTTATTTATGTCTCCCTCTACAGCCTGCCGGCTCTCCCCCTTTTGCATCCTCTTCATTGCTTTTTATAGGCTTACTTTGGATTAGAACCAATTAGAGGACTTTCAATTCTTTTTCCCCTTAAGATCGGCTAAGTCCCACAAATATCGGAACTGCCAACCTCTCTTTAGATTGGCTGGTCAAACTCCCCTTTGTTATAAACTCCTTTCTTGCACCTGGATTACCAAGTTTCACGGAAAATGAGGGGACTTGCATGTGGGATCAACCCACTTTTGAATTGTTTTATCCTTTGGCTTTGAAATTTGAAAAGCATGTGGGATAATTGGATTTACTTGCTTTTTTTCTTTTGTTTCTTTGCAACACTTATCATCTATATTAGATAAGGGCTGCTGGACATGGGCTTAGACAAACGCAACCCAAGTGATTTTTATTTTTATTTTGGTTCAACACAACTCATTTATATAATGTTTCTCCGAATTTTGGATGCCTGATGAGACTTGAGTTCCTCGGTTTGAGTTATTGCCCTATCATAATTTCTCTTACTATAAGAGCATTGATCTTTCACGGTAGGAACTACTCCTATACAGGAGATTTTTCTTTTCATCCAAAAGGTGTTGACGTATCAACTTCTCTTATAAAGATATGTACTGCTTTTGGTTATGAACTATGTTACAACGTCCAAGATTATCTAGAATAACTTTCTAGAGTTTGTTTCCTATAATATAGGAATTAGGATCCGACCAGAGTCACTCAGGTGTACCATTCCACTCTGATGCTCTAATACTATTCTCTTCGCATATTTCTCCTTTCGTCTTATTTATGTTTTTCTAACATAAAAGACATACTTATCAGTTGTCCAGGTTCTGATCCTGGGGTGTCATCTTGTTGTCCTTAATATACTTGTTGCGTCTACCCAAGTGCACGTAGTCACACGTAGTAATAATCTTGGAAGTCTAAGTATCGTATCCTCAAGGAGTAGGTATGCAAATGTCTGCACACAAAGAAATAATTAAAAGTACCAATTCTCTTCACACCTGGCTTGAGTTTAAAAATGAAATATCAATAATGGAAAAGTAATTTGATTTGATTGTTGTGGAGATTGAGTTTAAAAATGAAATATCAATAATGGAAATGCGAAGGCATCAAGGTTCAATTCTTTAAGCAAAATACGTTTCATGCTCTTTAATCCAAATTATAACTCGATTAAAATTATCATTGAGAAACTTTAACCGGAAGATAAAGAAATTAAAACCAATTTAATTTTTCAATGTTATCTTTTATTAATGATTATTCAGCTTCATATCTATTCTTTTAATTTAAAAGCATGCTAAGTCAGTTCTTAACAATGAGAAAAATATAATTGAATGCATGAAAAGATAGTAGCACTTAACATCAATCAAAATATGAAAATATTGAACAACAAAAAATAAAAGAATTTAGTAATTCATACCGTATATTGGATTAAAGAACAATTCACAAACTTACTCAAAGGACATTCCCTTTAGCCTTAGCTAGAGTTCTAGCAACTCATTACAAAGGAAAACATAACTAAATTTTGAATGAAATGGATAAAGAGATCTATCGCTGGTGGTTTCCTTGCCAAATAAGTTGATGGATGATTTATAGTAGTCCATGAGGTGAGTGGGAAGTTAATACATTCGTGGTGGGTAATGAAGGGTTTAAGTGAGGGATTAATTGGATTAAACATGTGTTGATGGTGGAGAGTTAGTGGAAAAGAAATAACGGCGAGGTAGTGGGCGTTAAATGGCTATGAATGACATGAAATAGGCTCTTTAGCTTCAAAGGTTTTGTCTTCTCTTTTCCCTCTTTATTTCTCTTTATAATCACAATAATCCCACAATCAATTCTTCAATAAAATCCGCCAGCAATTCTCTTCACACCTGGCTTGAACTTGGACAAATGTATGTCTTCATCTTTTGGCTTTCCAACTTCCTACAAAAGATAAATTCACCTAATAAGTTCACCAGATTAATATAGAAAATTCATAAATCCAGTTGGTGAGAATAAAATATAACAACAAGTGAAATTATATTTATTAAGCCAGAATTATATCATAAGGTCTCCAAAACAGTTTAGAAATCATTTTGTATTAGATTTATCATATCTCAATATTCTAAACAATCAATGTAAGAACAGTTTCATGCATTCATCTCACAAAGCATATAGAGATCAAACTTCATATTACCATAATACGAATAGTCATATATAAAGCAAACTAGTGGCTATGTCATACAAACAATAAAACTATCTTCTAAAACAAGAAGATAGCAAGTAAGTTCTTTATACATGCCCAAACCAAATAAACTAAATAAGTTCATACGTTCTAAAAGATCTCCATAAACAAATAAAAGCTTGCTTGACGATTTTGAATCCCAGCAATCTTCATCTCTATGAGCTTCCTACTTGTTCTCTGTTTGTGCAACAACATGACCTACAATAGATCATTGTTTGTTAGACTCAAGTAAGGTATAAACATTTGCTTAGAACTTTAATGACAAATTAAATTGTACCTTCAGCTCGGTTGTCCTTCATGCTAGCTAAGTAAGCCTGGCAATTCCTTTTCCAATGTCCGTCTCTCCATAATGGAAACACTGTCCTTTCACCTCTTTTCCTTCCTCCTATTTCTTCTTGACGCCTCCCTTGGGTTTGAGTTTAGGGTTCCATTCCTTCTTCTTCTTGTTGGCATTAAATTTGCCTTTACCCTTATTACCGGGCTTAGCAGAAGAAGTTGAACCCTTCTCAAAAACAGCAATGGTCCCATTCCCTCCTCTCTTAAAGGTCTTTTCAGTAGTCACACACATGTTCAGCAGCACTAAGCGTGTGTGCTCCATCTTCCCCATGTTGTAGTTCATAACAAACTGGGAGAAGGAATCCGAAAAGGATGCAACGAAGATGTCGGTGGCCAAGTTACGGTCCAGTGGACTGTTAAGACTTTCCAGCTGCTCAATGAGTCTTATCATCTTCAATCCATGTTGGTGGACTGGGGCTCCCTTAACCATCCTGGTCTTCAAAAGCTCAAATATAGCGTTGAAGCGTTTGTTGCGTGTGCCTTATCCATAAATCTCTTGGAGATGGGATATTATGTCAGCAACATGCATCATATGCTCATGCTATTTCTGGAGCTCCTCATTCATGGATGCCAATCAGCAACATGCATCATATGCTCATGCTATTTCTGGAGCTCCTCATTCATGGATGCCAGAATGTAGCACTTGGCCTAGCAGTCATCATCCACGTGCTTGTCATATTTACCACGTACTTCCTGAGAAGCACCTTCAGTAGGGAGCTCTATGTCAGTATGAACCTTCGAAGAAAATAATTTTAAGTTTGAGGAACGAGGGTTAAGAAAACTGGGGAAGGTCAGTATGAACCTTCGAAGAAAATGAACTCAGAGATCTTGGGAGTGTGAAGGAAAATGTGAAGGAGTTTGGGTTTTATACTGGCGCTGGAGTTCAAAACAGAGGTATGATCTCGAAAGATGAAAAGGCCTGACAGCGCACTCAGAGCACGCGAAATTATGACAGAGACATGGTGGCCGATGTTTCGATTGGCAGGGCAAAATGATGACTCGTGCGAATTAAGAGCGCGATGACACGTCGAAAATCTAGAGACCGTCGTTTCATTTGACGAGTCGAAGCGACGCCCTGGGCAATGGTGGCCTACACGACGTGCTTGAGGCATTAAATGCGCCGACTGGCCTGCGCATTTAATGACCCAGTTGTCAATCACTTCAGAAAGGAATGCGAAGGGTCCATCCCTTAGAATCCATTCGGCCCCTACCCATGTCGAGGCCGAAGAATCCAGGGATGTGGGGGCAATGTTTGTGCCTGATAAATCACGGCCATAAGCTGGCCGAAGGAGC